TCTAGCGTTGAAAATTGTGTGATCTCTGAAGTTGCTTCGGAGGCGCGACCGTATCAAGTGTATAAGCGCCTACACATGAACCGTCATTCACCAAGACACTCAATGTCTCGGGTTTTTATGGGAAACCTTTTCTACATACTGCTGAGTACTTATTATCTCAGGTTGATGGTGTCTTAATACCTCATCAATAAATGCTTGAGGAATATCTCCTTAAGTTAGTGGGGACTTATTCCCTCGATGTCTTCTAGCTGCGGTTGCGCTACCCAATCTGGTCTTCTACGACCGATTCTTCAGCATGTCTAGGATCATCGTTTTGCACAGTGTGTGCAACCATTTATTCTAATTAGATGTCGCCCGCTAGTTGTACACCTACGTCGCGATACACTCGACTCATTCGATTAATAGACCTTCGGCGCTGCCTGTGCATCTGCACAGCCACCGGCAGTTTCCTCTACGATGTAATTGGTTGTCACACTGTGATCTTGTGCAGTCCTTTCAACGATCGTACTGCAAGTGAGGCAATCGCACTCACTCGCATACATCCTTACGCTTTTAGGCGCTCCAAGACGTTTATCAGATGACCATCTGATGCCAGCTGACCCTTTGTTCGTAATTTCTGAACCAAGGCAAACTTAAAATGTAATCACAATTGTCATTCAAATCAAGTACAAATAAATCATCACAGTACTGCAAACCTTTTAGATTGTAGTAAAGTCCCACTACACGTTCCATTTAAGTTATTGATGATCCTGTTACTAGGCGCACCTTCATCCTTGTCAGAGGGATATTGCGCTCTACAAGATTGAGCCTACGATCCTCTGGAGACTGGCGACAAACAAAGTTGCCAGAATCCACACAGTCTACTAGGGCACGAAGTTAAAATTCTTAGTCACTTCTAACTCATAGGTGATGAGAGTAACTCGTCACCAAGTGCAGAGATACACTGAAATCTTTAGTCTAAAGCAGCTTTCATCAAGAGATTTGTAAATTCTCTTGAGGTTGATGGATCAGCAGGGCGCTACTACTCTACTGATCCTAACCGTTTTTATGGGGCCACTATGCTGTTGCGATTTTGCAACAACGTTGGACCCGTATTCATTGCCCTTCTTGGAAATGATCAATTTGCTCATTCAGTCATTCGAGACACTGGTCGTAGGGCTCTGCACTCACAAGCGTAGTGCCCCAAATTATGACAGCAGTTGTACTTATGCAATCTCTTTTGGTTAAAGAGCGAATTCTCTCGCTCTCAACGTAACAGAGATCCCTAGGATCTGGACCTCCGACTTCTTGTCGTCTTAAAGGACGAAGTGAACCCGAACTAGCGATAGCCTGTCTCAAGCTAAAGTCTTCTGTTCCGCAACTGATATCGCTGCTTCTAGCGTATCCAGTTCAAAGTGGAACATGTGAATCTTGACGGAAGCGTCCGAAGGACACTGTATAAACACAGTGATCCATTTGTGTTCGTTCATCAAGTTGGTTGTAATACAATTCGCAAGGAGTCGTTATGTGCTGGGCGTGAGTGTGCACATCACGCTTACACAGTTTGAAATTCAGGAGCTCTGAAAAATTATCGGAAACTGAAGCAGGGTAAGCGTTATGTGTGATCTTACGCCCAACACATACGAATCCTTGCGAGTCGGACTGAACTCAGCCCATCGCTGTACAAAATTTGTCGAAGCCGAGTCGGTAAGAACTCCAATTAACCAAACACAATTTGTTCGTGCAGCTTGAGCCTTAATGCCTAGGTTTTGGCACGTCCAGGCAGGTTTGACTGAGCCAATGCGACTTGCATTTGCTCATCGACGATGTGACAAGCCCAAAAGGCGTCATCTGACTCGACGAACCATCTCAGCAGGGAGTCTTTCTCGACTCCTCCAAATTGTAAGTTTCCATCTTCGAAGTTTCAGGTCGATGTGTACGTCACCCTGGAAAGAGCCGCATATGCCTGCTGTTGTCTAAATAGCTCTGCCTGTTAAGAACCTTGCTGGTAGATCAAGGTTATTATCTTCAGTGACTCGTCAAGTTCGTGTTGTATGAACTCGGTGACGGCGGCATCCTGCTCATCTCTGTCCAGTGGACAGCATGGCAAAGACGGCATGTTCGCCCACGGTCGACCCCGTTAGCTCAACTGCAATGCATTCGATGTCACTTAAAAAGGGAGAGGCTTTCACGCGTGGCGTGAAAGCTATCACTATGATCATCCAACATGTTAATATTGGATGTAGGGGTTGCGGTCCTTGGATGGACTACAAAGTGCTACCAGGTGTATCGGGGAACTGGTCACTAGTTATACTTCAGTACTAATGCACATAAACTGACAACGGTGTAGTTAGTGTCGTGCGTCACGTCACGTACAATGCACGTGCAGATGAAGACAGGCTAATGAACGAGGCGTTTAATGGGAGTAGAAAGTAAACTATATCAGATATATTTAAGACCTAACCATTATTCTAAGTTAAGTCCTAACTTAATTATGTTTATCTACACTAGTGTATGCTAAAGTCTTGCTCACCACTCATTGCGCGCTCCCATCGTTGATTGGACCGCTAGAGCTGGCTGAAATGATAGCATATATCAGCTAATCAGTTAGTGTTTCTGAATATTACCCCTCATTGTTTATTCACGAGCACTATCAACCTTTATGATAATATTTGAATTAATGAGTATCGATTTCGATGAAGTGTAACATGCTCACGCCATTACAACTAATACCAGAAGCAAGAGCAGCGGTAGCAAAAGGAGCAGAAGCAGCAACATACACAACAGCTACACCAGCACCAAGAGCAGCCACAGCAGCAACGACAACAATAATGACATCAGCAGCAGCACCACCACCACCAGCAGCAGCAATTAAAGCGACCGGGACATCAATGAATCTTACAATAACAACGGCTACAGCGGCAGCGGTACCATCAAAACGACATGGGCAGCTGAAACAATTTTTTGGTACCAACTATATCATCAGAGCATAATACTAACCATAACAAAAAAAATTCATATAATTTAATTTATATCATACCGGTGGTCCACGTTTACGGCTGCCGCTTAAGATACAAAGATGCGTTTACATCTTTCTTTTGTCGTCCACGATCACAATAGGTAACTGGGGGCGCAGCAAAAACCCCTTTGCGGCTCCTCTTACAGAGTGGGGGTCGAGCGAAGCATTTCGGTAAAAAAGTAAGACATAACTTAAATATAAAAGTTTATGCGTAAAACTTTGATATGGGTATACAAGGACGTGGGGCATATTGTCGTTTTCATTTAAAAACGTTTTTTATATTGCCTAAAAGTAAATATTAACGGTTTTTATCCGTAGTAAAGCAGAGTGTCCTTTATTTGAAATGTATGGGACCGCCAAAACTTTAATTAAATTATAAAATTACATAGCAGTGTGAGGGGATAGGGTTAAAGCGAAGGGTGCTACACGTGTTAGCAAGGAGAACGATAAGGTAGCCACATCGTCCGTCCCTCGTCGGAATGCTGCATCGATGCTTGCACAGATCAAGACTTTCTGGTTGCAGCAGGAAACTCGGAAGGAGTTCTCAGGGATTTTCAGAAGATGCAGGGTCGGATGGAAAATTGTCAGTAAAAATTCAAGCGACAAACTCCGATTAATATTTTTGCAATGGTCTTCCGGTAGTGGTTATAAATTTGTATGGCGGAAAGTTGTTCTGACTAAATTAATAAATTTAAGGGAGTTAATTTTAATGTCAGCCTAGGCCTTAAATGGGACTCGTCAGCATTATTAAGGTTATTAGCTTAGAGAATAAGAAATTACGGGGACTTGACTGTACATTAAAAAAATTAGGAATGTATGGTCTTTGCTTGGCACAGCAAGCTTCCTTATTTAATTTCTCTTCCTCGTATAACAAATTCGATGCCATCAGCCGCACTTTGTTGTTGACGACGTTCCCGAGCAAGATCATCGTCTGTCTTACTTTATTCAAATATTCGTCCCTGTTTTTTTTAGACATGAGCAACATCAAACGAGTACCTTTACTACAACTTTCCATCCGCACTTTCATTATCTATGCACAATGCACGACTTATTATTCGGCCGGTACAACCCGAGAACGTGGATGTAAAGAACTTTATTCGTTCTTCTGGGCAAACTTTCTTACAGTAAAAGGCGATTTACAAAGCTTGCTCCCCTACCTGATACTTCAGTCATTTTCCTTGCGAGGGTGACATGGTCGGCAGCGCTTGAGAACAGTTGTATGACATAGCTGGTTGTCGAGCAAACAGCACAGATCAATTACCTGAACGTGATTTCGTTCCAAAGCCCACTTGATACCCACACGTGATCACAGGACTGACAACCACTGATTGTCGTGTAAGCTCGCATCCGATTTAAAGGCACTATTACCAAGGCCAGAAAGAAGGCATGTTCTGATCACCGAGTCTAAAGTCCGACAGGCTCAATAGACACCTCGCACACAACAGCCCCTGACGTCGCGATAGCTTCGAATTACGCCAACTCATTTGTTGGTCACGAGTGTCGACACTGAGGTCATACGGCAGACAGCAAGATTGTCAACAACAAAACGACATTGCAGGAACGTCACCTAACTTCACAGCAGAAACGTTACCAGTGTGCACTCATGAGCGTATTCAAGCTTTTCCACATGGCGCTGGATAATAAGCGGGTGCCCAGCTGAGCCGCATCTGGGTCAAATGCGTGGAGCAGCACGTAAATTGGCCAGTGTACTGCAATAATTTACGCCTCGCACGCGATCGCGTTTTAGCCATAATTTCGCTGGACTGCTTTAGACCCACCAACACACCGAGGCCGTCATGATCCGTACCATGGTAATTGCTCAACGTACCCACGCAACAGGCAATGCTAGAGTTGTCTATTACGATACGAGGTGGTTGAAACCGAGTCAGTCTGAACTGCAAGTTTGCTTACAGCACTTGTGTCTGCCAGCCCTCTCAAGTCTTCATTGAATTATTCACTTCAACTTGCACCCAAAGTCTTTCCATTTACCATTGCGTTCTCCTCAGCCTGTTGTCGTTTCGACCGCTGCTGCAGCACAGAGTCGCGCAACGAGACCATGGATCTGTAGTTGCGTCGAGACGCCATCGGCGATACACATGTGCGTAGCTCCAATGAGCTTAATGAACTCAAGCTTGAGCTTTTCGTCCGGCATCGATAACGCTTTGCACACTCGAAAGATCGTCCCGATGACATCAAGCGACGAGTAGCCGCTTTTCACCAATCCGAGTGCCAGTTCCTCTGCTCGATCAAGTCGTGCTTGCTCACAGTGTGTCAGCAGGTCTTTCACCACCGCTGGATGCGGTTGATCACACACTTGAAAGACGTTCTCGTCACTGATAAAGTGGAAGCCACTGGCTGTGGCCTGCAGGTTGTTCAGCGCATTGCGCATATCGCCCTCAGCTGTAAAGATAAGAGCCGCGAGGCCCTCGTCGTTGTACCCAACGTTCTCCTCTTGACAGACCGTGAGCAAGCGACGCAAGAGCATCTCGTCCGACAGCCGCGTGAAGCGCAGCATGGCACAGCGACTCTGGATGGGCTCAATGACTTTCGTCGAGTTGTTGCACGCGAGAGCGAAGCGCGTGGTAGCCGAGAAGAGCTCCATCGTCCGTCGAAGAGCCTGCTGGGCTGCAGCCGTCATGGCGTCCGCCTCGTCGAGAATTACGAGCTTGTGGCGCCCTGGCGGGAGCGTCACTTTCTGCTGTGCGAACATCTTGATCTTCGTCCGCACCGTGTCGATCCCGCGGTCGTCCGACGCGTTCAGCTCCAGCACGGCCTGCTTGACCGACGTCGGCCCGAGGAGCTCGTGCGCGAGACACAAGATACTCGTGGTCTTGCCCGTTCCCGGCGGCCCGGCGAGGATCAAGTTGGTCATGTTGCCGGCGCGCGCCATGGCCTGGAGACTCGCGATCGTGTCGCGGTTGCCCACGACGTCGGCCAAGACGCGCGGACGGTACTTTTCCACCCACGGCGCTTCAAAGTCGGCCGACATGTTGGGGCGTTTGATCACTGGAAGAGCGGGGGACGAGTGGGAAGTAGCGGTAAGGAAGTAGCAGGAGCTGAAGTAGGAGAAGGTGTTGAGGTGTAAGAGGCTGTATTTGTTGGGGATGGGAACGGGTAAATGTACCGGTTTAGCCTTTACCGATTTGTTTTGGCCAATCAAAAATTTGACTTTTGATCTGAATCTGTTGTACTCAATCTCATGCTGATGATGCAGTGCCGATTCGGATGTACCTACCCCAATTCGTCGTAGCTTTTGTAATAGAGATTGCCGGCGCGCGATGAGCGACGAACGCCGAGGTAATGTAGGAGATGCAGGTATTAATAACACCCGTTAATAAAATACACATTTTGTCTCTGTTGATGTGATACTATACTTGCAGAGCACACTGCATTTGTTTATGGCGTACATGTACATGCCAGATAGCACTTATGTGTCTGTTTACTTTCCTATTCAATAATGCACCTTTGGGAGTCCACAACCATAGTATAAACTTCCTTAAGTTGATATTGTTCGTCATTTCCTGACACTGGTTGCGTTGGTGCTGGCTGCATTGATGGTATTGGCGTCATTACTGTCGTCGTCATTGTAAGTGACGTTTTTGCTGACGACGTTGCTGCGAGCCGCATCATTGGAAAATCGTGATTTGCTTGAATGTGTTGCACATGTGTTACGAACAGATCCTTTTAATGGTGCCACAGAAATTCATTTCCTCTGCGATGCGAATGTAGTCATTTCGGCAATATTTAAACACATGACAGTTACGTGGCATGAATATGTACGTATGACACAAGTGCAGTAGGCCCATCTAGAAGGAGACTGCATCTCACTGTCTAATGTTTATACACTTTATCTACGGATGTTGATCAGTGCGCTCTATCACCAGTCGCTTCGTAGCTCATGCCTGCTGGCAACCGCCATTAAAGCAAATACGATCTAAATATTTGAAATAATGGTTGGTATACCAAATTAAAGATGGTATCATCGGAATCAGATTTGATGTGCTTAAATAAGATTAAAGAGTCATATATTTTGATTGGCCAAAACTAAAACCAGTACGATGACCCACTCCCAACCGGTGCGTCTAACCTTTCCCACAACGAGTACAATAATCATCATGGTCAAGTTGTGTCTGTCGACTATGGTCAGGTCAAGTCGACCATGGTCAAGTTTTGTCAAATACGGTCAAGTTAACGGAGTCCATAGGCAGTTTCGTAGGTGATAGCAAGTATAGTGGATGGACCACGTTTCATCGATCTTAGTCTACTTGCACCCTGTTCCACCAGCAATGACCAGGCACGCAGTACTCGAGAAGATCGAAAGCAGGTTTGTCGTAACGGACCACACCAAGGCAAATGTGAATACGGAGATACTGGCGACACCTCCCCAGAACCACGGCCGTGCGCGTTGCTTCAGCGCCTGCGTTTCGCGCTTCTGACGAGGAAGCAACGGCAACCACGCGAGTGACAGCAGCTTCATGATGTAGGCGATCACAAATGTCCACGTGACTTGCTGACGCACGTGCGCTGTGTCTTGGATAATGTCGGTCACGGTTACGTCAAACAGCGCGTTGACGTTCTTGGAGATGCAAGAGGAGAAAGGACTGGACAAATTGCTCACAGTGGTCAGCAGCCCATACACGGCAGCTTCGTTACCGATCTCAGCCAGCTCCACAACAACAAATGTTGACACAAGGAAGTTCATAGCTTGTGGCAGCTCTTCCAAAATTGGTGTTCCTAACCAGAACCACTGGCTGCGCACCACGTTCCAAATAGTGAGCATGCCAACAATTGCATCCAACACAATCACCGACACAGTTGTCCATATAATAGCGCGTCGCCAGCTCCAACCCAATCCAATACGCTTAGTAACGTATAACGCTGCACTGAAAACGACGAGTCCAAGCACGGAGAACAAACTCTCGTTGAGTGGACGCACTTTGGCCCAATATCGTTGAATCGGGTCACCTGCCGTAATCGTAAAACCATCAAAGATTCCGCTGAAAAATCGGTAGGCCAAGATTTGCACCATAGCGGAGTTTTGAATCAATGACCATAAGCTACGCAGGTAATCACCGAAACGTGGTACGTGGTCGCCGAGTGGCGGCTCTTGCACCAACCATAGCGCAGCCGGAATGGCTAATAAACTCAGTAGCGAGAGAATCAACATCAGCTGGCTCATCGTAAATGACCACGTAAATGACCCGCCGTAATCATTGCTGTTCAAGCCAAAGCCGACCAAAAGAGCTGCCAAAATCATTGCAATACTGCGCACGAGGTAGACGGTAGACTGGATGTTGCCACGGCTGTTTTCTGGCTCCCGCTGCGCAAACTCCACGACAAGACCGTCGGAAGCTACGTCAGCGATCATGTAGCCTAAGCTTGCCAGCATCATCACTACGATGTAGAGAGAGCCCGAGCTTAGTGCTTGCCAATTGATTCGACCTCGCAGCTCAGCTGGACTCAGATCCGAGAGGTCTTTGCCGCGTAGCTGCGAGTCGATGTAAAAAGGAGGCTCTTGGTGTACGAAAACGAGAACTAAAAGCATGCTTGAACACACAAGCCACCCCACGATCATGTACGCCCTGCGACGTGAGCCTAGTATGGGGAAACAGTCGGACACAACACCAATGATCACTTTAAACGACCACGGCAGCGAGAGTAACACACGTGCTGACAGCGTCTGGTACCCATCCAAATGCAAGTAATTATTCAGAAATGGGTACACGGTGCGAGGCAGTCCACCGTAGAGCAAACCTACGGCTGCATATTGCACCAGTAGACCAACATGGCGCCAATGGTACAAATTAGGCACGTCACCAGACCGAAGTTGCGGACCTTCTTCGCCGTCATTCTTCCTGATCAAAGTGTCGCTAATAACTTGCTCCGGTTCGTCTTCGCCAACGCTCGAGACATCCGAGCGCACGTACGAAAGTCGGTCTAGACGCTGTGACGTGTCTCGACCGCTCATCTCCATCAGAACTCCTACTGATACTTGAGACTGTGGTTTCACACAGCATCAAAATGGTTTTCGATATTCTCGCCGTTGCACGCATTATTGCTGCCCGGTCACTGCAAGTCCTCGTCCCACGTAATCAGGTGATACCGTGAGACTTTTATCCTCTAAACGTCCTTTTTGGGCAGGTGAGCGACTGCTCATTCGAGTGACTACAATACCGCTCTCCGTGGGATGAAATCTATCGATCAACCGATCGCTTGGTTTATTTTACTTGCGATAGGACGATTCGTCATCCTAGCAAAAAACTACTTGTCCCCGTCCAGTCGCATCCAGTCAAAAAGATCGTTTCAACTCCTTCGGAAGGAAAAATCAGTCGAGCAAAAGGCTTCCGCTTGATCAACTGCCCTCCGTGTCCGAGCCTCCCACGCCCTCACGATGGCGTCCATGTGGTCCTCGTTCACTTATGTGCTTCTCCCGCCTGCCGTCGTTCTGTACGTGCCTCTGTCGTCTTATCGCACGTCGCAGGCTTCACTGGGATCCCACCATGCTAATTGATGCTCTCTAACTGTCGTTTTTTAGTCTGCTCTTAATGACGATCCCGCTCCCGAGTCTCCTACTGAACCGCGGCGTTGTCAAGTTTGGCGACTTTGTATTCAACATCCGCATTGGAACGCTGAGCGTCTTTAGCGTCATCACTGCCATCTCGTTTGTCGTGCTGCTGGCGCAAACGTACGACTTGCAGAAGCGGTACTCGATGCACTCGGACCCACATTTGGAAGTGCACTACTCGGCGGATTTGCAGGTTTGTCAATTAAGTCGAAGCGATCTAAATGACCGACTCGCTCTTAAATTTGCAAAATGCTCTTGGACTGTTTTTGGGATGCGGGAACTTTAGAAAAAAGCTTCGCGTTGGCGCTCCGAGCGGAACTGGTGGATCAGTGCACTCACTTTTGCCATCTACTGGTGCGTTGAGTGCAAACGGTTGACTCCAAATTAAGAAGCTTGTAGCTCAAAGGTTGTTGTGAATACGTACAGGATGCTGCTGCGTTTTCACGCTTTGAAGAAGCAGCTGGTGAAGGTGCAGCGTCACGAGGACTAGATAGTGGTTCTTGTGCTGGCGAGCTGTAACGTCTCTGTAACGAGGTTGTTGGATAGTGGCTGCGCGTGCATTTGAATGGCGGTAGCTTCCCGCGCTCACGTAAAGATCAATACACTTGACCTTTTGTTTCTCTTGCTGTAGATACTTGTACGTGGTATTCCACAGTCGCAGTGGCCGACGATGCTTTAGCAGATGCCTTCTTTGTTCAAGATAAGCACAATGACAAATGAGACGGGGAGCTATGTGACGTGTATGAGTAGCGTCAATGTAAATGGTCGGTCAAGTTAAAAGCAAATTTCTCATCCTCCACAAAACAAATTGCAACGAATGTACAAATGGAGGCTAGTGTGATGGCACGAATAGTGCAGATGTTGATTGGGCATTGAGTTACAAGTCTACGGCGTTACTCAGTAGTAAGCGAATGTGGTTTTGCTAGATTAATGTTCAATAGTACCTTATCATCATTTACGTTTTGTATTCTGTAGTATCTTTGGCTTTCTAAGAAGTTCCTGAGTAGGTAGCGAGTACGTAATGTAGGTTTAAGAAGTTATTCAAAAGTCTTTCTTGTAGTTGACCATGGCACGATCGCACTTTATAGTGTCGTCGTATCACCTCTGTGCGAGCCGTGGGGCAGCGTGCTCAAATCTTTCATTCAGTTCCATGCGTGCATCAACCACGGACTATTTTAATTCACATCGCGCATTTCCACGCTTTGTGATCTTAGAATACAGTTTCACGCCTCCTCGCACGTACATGGATGGCTTCGACCTCGCTATGTATGGTACACGTACAAATGACCGTGTACAGCCTTTTTTGCCGTGTAGATTGACCGCAAATTTGTATCATATAGATGCACGGTGTCGAAGGGTTCTGGAGCCACGTTTGTCGTGAACTGCACTTCCTTCATTGTGACACTGCGAGCCCCTTCGGGGACAAAGTTGAATCTACGCCTTACCGAGAGCCTTGTTGTCCCATAAAGTAGTTGGCGCAGATCGAGGAGTGGGTGTGTGCTGTCAGTTGTGCATCCTACGCAGTGCATTTTCGATCAGTATTACTCTAAAGTGAAAGGTATCGGTTCGAGATTCAGGAAAGTTCAAGTACCAGAGGTACTTGGACCGAGGAAACTTACTCTTCCACAGGGTTCGATGTTCCACTGAACTCGGATTACAACTCATTCTATTATCGATTCTATCAGAGGAAGCTACATTTTAAGAACGAGACGAGGAACAGCCAATCTACTTGTAAACATTGAACTAGTGGTACTCAATTCTAACATCCTGCGTCTTACCTTACAGTATTTATCGTCTTCAGCATGATCCTATCAAAAGAACATATCGCCTATGCTTATCCTGCTTGTATCTGCAAGCATTAGCTGGGCGAATATTTCAGCCCACGGACGAGGATGTAGATCCAAGAATGATGTGATAATGCGAGGTCGGCCGCTGCGCCGCCTTTAAAAACTATTCACGAAGGCCACAAATGGTCGTTGCGCCTCTCATTGAATCTCTCGTTCGGTCCTTTTGTTGAACGATCGACAGAATCTTTTGCTGAGTCAGAGTACCTCTTTCAAGTACTTTAAAATTCAAGAGCACGTTGAACTTGCTATTCTGCACATTTTTTTACTTCAACCTAATGGCGCAAGTGATCGATCAGATCCATGTCGAGGCTTAATGCCTTTGCCAGAAAGCGGCTTTTCCACGCTTTTGAAACACGGACGCCTTACTGCGTGACTAAGTAGTATCGTGTATGCATAGACACCTCAGCAAATGGTACGCTGAAGCTTCCATCTATTACAATGCCTGAACGCTGCGCTGCGCACATTCCTGTGATAACGTTGCGTCAAGACACCAAGCTAACGTCCACGAAGCGACGTCTCCGACAATCCTCGCACAAGCTATGGCTGTAGGGTACTAAATCTCTAGTTATTCTGACCCAGTACAGTTGAGTCTCAGGCCTTCGGCAGAGTGCGTCAGGTCGAAAGTCGAAGCAGAGGAGCTCACTTGCCCAGTCCAAGCTATCTTTCCACTAGCGGCTTGCTTAAAACTCAGTTTAGCCTGGCCACAAACGATGCGAGCTTCCACGGGAGACGGGGAACAAGAAGAAACTCACTCTGCCACGTTTATGACGATGGCTGCTGATTCTTGCGGTAAAAAAGAGCTGTGTCGACGTTATTAACGACGACGGATCTGTCGTCGTCAATAACATGAAGGAGCTTGTGCGGCTTTCGACGATGACCAAAGGCAAAACGGAATTCTTAGAAGCTACGGACGTCTTCGGTGGTATTTTGTGCTCTCACGGCGCGAAAAGCACGGTTTCGCTCTTTAACCTCACAAATACAAGGACTACTACCGGTAGCAACACCACTAGTAACATACCTTACAACGTTCACGCCGTTGGCAAATTTGCCTGACAGACGTGTCACCGTTTATCATAAAGCCAGCCACAGCGTCGTTTAAACGGTGATGGCTGCATTGCTTTGGATATCTTTGATGTAGTTGTCATACAGATTACCGTGAACCCTACTGTGACCAACCATCGCAACGTTGGACTCAACAGGGGTGCCCTCAAGACATCAAACTCTTTTATAGAAGGCCGCAACGTCGATGCATGGATGACGGATGGTTGACACCCTGCGCACATTGCCTGAAATCCGTGAACACACCACTAGGGTTGTCTAATTACGCCGAGACGTCGAAGCGTACAGGAAGTTGATGTGTCGTATCCATTCGATTGGAAGTTCAAACTTCTCCTTAAACATTGGTCGTCCAAGTAGTGTTTGCCACGTCGCTCGAAGGCCCTTATGAGCTGGCTTGTAGTCTCGTACACCCCTGCACATGTATCGCTCTCTTGCGATTATGTACCATCAACATTGTCACTTATCTTGTACGAAAGCTTGTGCGCCCACGCATAGTATCTCACGCTAAGTCGGAGGCAAAAACACGGATAAAAATCCAGACTTTACTTTTAGAAGTTGAGGTTCAATTGATTGATCGACGTCATTCTAAAGGCACCTGGCAAATCACATTCAACAGCACCTAAATAATGTACGTGAAGATGCAGCACTGCACCAGAATAAAAGGAGATAATTAAGACAGCCACTTGCGCAAATCTGGACGATGCAGTTTTGCGCATGAGACAGCTCCGGTAGTGCGTTTTCTAGCATGGACACAGCTAGATCGAGCAGCAATCGCAGTGTCATTAAGCGGTGTGTGAAGGGACTGTGCAGTGCGTAGCTCGAAAAGCCAGATGTCGTCGCCCGACCATTCAAAAAGCAAGTACAGCAGAACCACAGCCTGATATTCACAGATCGACCACAGGACAAACGAGCAGTTTCGGCTCTGATCTTCCTGCTTCAGTATCTGATCCATCCGATCCGTGCCGAGCCTTAACAGCCAGTAAGCTATACATGGCCATGTCGTGTGTGAACCATACAAAATAGAGAAAGGAATCTCTCCTTATCTACCGAAAAGCCTTGATGTGCCACAAAAGTAGCCACGTTTCTCGCTCTCTGTTGGCTCACAATTCGTTTTGCCACCTCCTCCGCATACAGGCGTACCCACTAATTGCATTATGAGGTTGACCACCCTCTACGTGCTCTTCATCTGCGCTTCGCTGACGGCTCAAAAGGCGCTGACCGATCCCATTGCATCGGAGCTTGGGACGAGTCAAGGACCAGCTGCTCGTGGGGTGCCGGAAGCTCGCGGCTCGTTTTCCTTTTCGGCGTTTTTCGAGTGGTTGGCCAACATCTTCAAGTCCTCGCGGCTGAAGGAACTCGAGAACAAACTCGTGCCCGTGGAATCGCATCTCGACGCACTCCTCTATGTCGATATTAGGGCCAAGATCGAGGAGATGAGATCCCGCTTGGACGTCTCCTTCCTTCCGCTAACGGGGGAGTATAGCTCCGTGAAACTTGTAGAGCTCGATCACCACGCTTGCGAACTCTTCAAGAGCCATGAGTTCCGCGCTGTCTATCAAAAGCTCAGCTCATTGAAGGATGTAGACGCAGACGCTGCGATGTATGACTTCTTGGTCCTCGAGTTTGACAAGGTAAAGACAGCACAATTGCTGTGGCTCGGGGCAGTGTCGGGGAGGGGAAACCCTCAAAATTGGGCTAGACTCGTGGAGAATGCTCAGTATCGTAAATGGATGGAAAGCGAGCGCATCTTTAGACCTCGTGAAGTTTCGACGTTCCTGGGGGTTAAAACGAAGGACGAACATGGTCGTGTCATAAAGAGCAATGCTGTACTGGTCACACTCTCGTTGCGCTACTGGGATTTCGCTCGAAAAGATTATGAAGTTTCGATGAAAGCGAGCTTGAAGTAACATTCACATCGCTCATTGGGTTCGCGACACGTTTCATGGTATTTTTTCATATTCTTCTTCCCTTCTATGGCTTCGGTTGGTCAAAAGATGATTCGCTGCTGGACTGGCCGGTTGGTAGGTGATAGCTGAGTGTGAGCGCTCTAACAACACGAGACTGTTGGACAAATTTTACGCTCTTAGTCACCCTCATTCTCTCAGTCGTGTGTGCGTATTGCTGAACAGGTGCAAGCCGCTTCCTGACATGGCGGAACGAACGATGAAAAAACTCGTAGACAAAAGAGCTCTCCTAAAAGCTGTCGACCACATTCCCGCGTCGACCACTGTCACGTCCGTTGCAGGTGTGCTTCGTAGTACGCATGCTCGCCTTGGTCTTTTCAATCTACTAGCTGTTAACAACGCCATTAGTGCCTATGACATCTGCAGGACAAATCGCCGGTTCACACAAACCTCAGGTATGTGTGTGATGTGTGCGGGATGTAGTTCAACGTGCTTGGCTCCGTAAAGACGTGTCAACAGTCACCGCTCATACGTCGTGTGCAAAGCCCATCGACTGTCACTCGGAGGCTGAGCATTGGGTCTCCATTGAATATGAGATGTCGCGGACCGCTCGTTTGTGCGACTCGACAAACATTAAGAGCCGGTAAGATGCTGTAATGACTGTCGACAGCTTCCGAGATTTCGCGTCAAGGACACAGATTTCGGACGTGCTGAAGGGCGCAAGTGCCAATCCAGGAAAGAGGGACTGCCATGTCAAGGATGTCAAAGTGTTGGTTACGATGCTGTCGAGGTCGTGGATGATAGAAGAGGAATCAGTTCAATGCACGGAGCAGCAGCAGATTCAGGCAGCAGTGAGTGGTACGTGGACCATCAAGGAGGTACCGACAAGCGAGACATGCGGCGCATCGAAGAGGACAGCTACTACCGCGCCATGACTTCGGTATTTCTCCACAATGTGCAAAACTTGATAGACGTTGCGTGTTACCGCAACGAGCGATGCTGGTGTGGTTACGGTGGCTGTTTGGCCTCTTTCGGACTGCTGCTCACATTTTGCCTGTGACCCGCACGCAGTCTGCCCGCAAGCTGCAGTTGTGTGCGTTAAAGCTGGACCTTTTCCTTTGCCGACACTTGATCATGACCCTAATTATCTTTCTGTTGGTTGATGACAAATGTAATGAGTACTAGAGCAATGGGGTGGCCGTAGGTTACTTAGTCGTTACAGCTCATGAAACTACGGCAAGATGTCCATAAAAAAGCTAGTGACCACCCTGCTGGCACAGGCTCAATTGTTTGCCTTTAATTTTGGAAATTGATGGTACACGTCCACCCGTTGATGCGCACACACCCAGACGAACTGTTTAAATTAATAGATTGCCACAAAATGTAACGTAAATGTACAATAATCTAGATTTATTGTTCGTTACTAAACGTGCGGAACATTCGATTCATCTCCATCAACTACTTCTCAGCATTTCCCATGTTTCCAATTTAAGCTATGGGGTTTTGCATTCGCAGACAGGCCTGTTGGCTTTAGTAATTGACGAAGAACAACTTAATTCGACCAGCAGCAACAAAGGAACTATTTTAGCTGTGAAGTTTTCAGCCTGGGTAATGAAAAGCTGGGTCCTTTACGCTTTACGCATTTTATACAGCACATGTCACAGGGTGCCTATGCTACATGAAAATTGACATCAGGTAATCAATGAGTGTGAATAAATGTTAGGACAAACATAATATCCTCACAAAATTATCATAATAGATAATATCGCTTCACAGATGTTATACACTGCTCATTGGTTAATATCAAACATCAAAGTCTAGCCACGACAGAAGCACACAATGAGTGGAGGCCAAATGTCCGCTGACGCGGCCTACTTTGATCAAAACACCCTTTTCATCGCTGCCGAATTGTATGAAATTGTATCGGCGTGTGCTCGCAGTTGTTACGACGCTTTGCACGTGGTAGCACTTTTTATATCCTCCTTATCAATTCTATCGAATGTTACATCTGATCAGTGGAGTCTCTCGTACGAGTTATCTCTTTCTATCTGCACACACTTCAGGTCATAATGATTCGGCACCCTGCGTTAGTGCTCATAACTCCATAACAAATGCGAGTTCCGATGCTGTCGTTTAATTTTTTGATTCACGCACAGATTTGAAAATACCCCTCCGCAGTGATAAAAGTCCGATTTTATCACTCGATTTCATAGCTCACAAACAAAAGAACACTTTTTGGGTCGGGAAAAGCATTCAGCCAAAAAAGCATTCAAACCTCAAGTATAAGTGTATTTTTTGGCATTCCTATATTGTGATGAGGGTAAAAATGCTAATCAGATTAGTAGTGTGCCTAGTTTCCCTGCATTCTAGTAATTCGATGCAACGGTGCGGCACAAGGTCGATCAAGGTCACCAAATTTTCCTGCTCTGTGTTGTTCCACGCCCCCGATGCCTGCCGGGTTCGAGCTGATACAGAATCGTCCTGATCCCCGTTCCAATTTACCTCTCTGGACATAAAAACCCACGCGCATTCGATCGGGTTTTAATCCGGAAAACGAGCAGGTCAGTCCATTGAATTCACGGTTTGCTTAGCGAAGGTGTCCGTCAACATCGCAAAAGAAAGAACGGCCGAGTTTTCTGCTGAAAAAAAAGTCTTTGTCGCATTCGCGATGAGCGAAAGGCAGCGAATACTTGGACATCGTGTCGATATAATCCTTTGATTTTTGGCTTCCCCTAAAATGGCTAGTTCAGTTTGTCCAACTCCGATAAACCCATCCCGAACCATAATGGACCCTCCGCCGATCTAATGACAATTCATCTGCCTAATAGAGACGCACATGTCTCTCTAATAGTGCTATAGGCCGTCTGGTCCATCGAATTTTCGTTTTTTTTCGTCAGAAAAATGATCGACATCCATGCACTGGGAAGTATCACCATCTCGTCCGACCATGCAAGACGACACACTCTATGCATATCCGAAAGATGAAGCGTCTTGTCCATTTTTTTGTACGAAAGCCGATCTATAAATTGGATGATGCAGCGCACTGTTCAAACCGAGCACTTCAGTTCGAGCTGATGATGCAGCTGTGTTGCTGAGAAATATTCTCTCGCTGTCGTGCGAACCATCGCACAAAGAGCACGATCGGAAAAATCTCGTGGTCTGCCAGTGCTAATGCGGCCGATGAGACCGCTTAAAACACGCATTACTGCGTCACGTAACCAATTGACAGCATGTGCGATGGCGCGCGCCCCGTTAGGCCACGCTAAACATCTCCAAATGATAAATTACCTGAGTCCAACTCAATTTCCAGCAGTACAATTACATAGAATCAGTTTTTTAGTCGTAATTTGCTGTCGATTTGTCAGATGGCAAATCGACAGCAATGCATAACGTCGCACCATGCGAGCAATTCAAATACATCGCATGCTTTACAATGATTGCGGACAGTCATTCTTCATCTCCAACATTGGCAAACGTTTCATCTTACTGTTTGGATTATAAACCCATCTTGGTACGTATTTAGTGGATACGGATACAGGCTGTGTGTCGGGTCTCGCCGGGGTCCTGTGTGTCCTGAGCTTCTTTCATTCGCATCCGCTAAGGTGCCACTGCCATCCATTAGCTTATACAGTCCGAGTTACATAGCTGGCCTGAGAAGGGTATCAATACTGATAGCGTACACATCATCGCACTTCAGTGTTTCTCGTCCACCCCCCCGATGATCCAAGAATTTCGATGTTGGATGTCGAAGACGACATCCGAAATAAAGATGTCTGGAGGACGCTTATGTGGCGAGCGTCCTAAGACTCATTAATGTCTGCTGCGCCCAGGCCTCCAGACCTGGCTGCGTGCATTCGATGCGCAGTCGATCGAGGATAGTGGGGAATCTGCTGCATCAAATCAAAGGCTGCTCCAACTTTTGGAAACGCGCGACTAGGCTAACGACACTAAAAATCAAAATAAGTAGCAACAAAGGGCGGAGACTTGGAAGTCATGACCGATAGTTGTGGTCGTAGACCTTGAACAGCTTGATCTCGCGGCAGGCACATCTATTTCCGTGGATGTTTGAGGACATACAACAGTGAGGAAATGCTGAGCGAGGCACTGAAAAATTTATGGCTGAGGTGATGCTGTAACGGGGTGAATCGTTACATAACAATTTATAAGAAATTGTTAATAGAATATAACTAGAAGAGTTATATTCTCAGAATATTGTCATAAGGACAAATATTCTGTAGCACTTACGAGTAGTTCCTAATTGGTTGATATAGGCCATTATATCAACCAACGAAGATGCGCCACGACAGACGCACGCAATGAGTGGTGAGCAGATAACTGATTTACACATTTGTATTTAGACATAGTTAGATGAAGATAAATAGTGATTAATTGCAGACATTAACTATTATAAATACAGTTCTACTTTTTACTTTAACCAAGTACTCGCTTCTCCTTACCGTCTTCCTCTGCACGTACGAGTGTACGCGAAGTTCCGAGGCACCGCCTTATTCTGTCATCAGAATAAGTAGCTTGTACTGTCACCAGTACAAGCTTCAGGGTGCCCCAATACACCTGGTAGCACTTCGTAGTCCGTCCAAGGACCGCGTTCACATCCAACATGAATATGTTGGATGATGAAGATGACCAAAGCTTTCACGCTACGCGTGACGGCTACTCCCATTTGGGCGATGTCGAATGGGATGCGGTTGAACGGATGGGTTCAACCATGGGCATCCATGCTGTCAGCGTCATGCTAGAGGCTCTCAATAGAGATGCCCAACATGCTACTATCGCCAAGTTCATTCAAAATGAACTTGACGTAGAACGCGAGAAAGTAGCCTTGCTTCACCAACAAGGTTCTCAACAAGCAGAGTTGTTAAGAGAACAGGGTGCTCAACAGTTTGAACTGTTGAGACAGCAGCAGGCTGCTGCTGGCGGGTCGATGCACTCGCGTCGACCCGAGACTTTGAAGATTGACATCTCCAAGTATAGGAGAGTCAAAGAAGACTCCCTCTTGAGATGGTTCGTCAAATTGGATGACGCCAAAAGGGCGCGTCGCATCGACGACGGGGAAATGCAAGTTGCATTTGCCCAGTCAAATCTGGCAGGACGTGCCAAGACTTGGGCTTTGGGGCTCAAGTTGTACGACCCATATGCGTTTGGGTCGTTGGAAGTCTTCAAGTCGCGGCTCAGACAAACGTTTGAACCGCCTAGAGCTGAGTTCAGAGCTCGAACCGAACTCTTGAAGCTCAAGCAGGGTAAGCGTGATGTGCACGCTTACGCTCAACATATACGACATCTCACGAGTTGTATAAGTTCCAATCCGGTGGATGAACACACGTTGGTTTCGGTGTTCATGCAGGGTCTTGCGGATGGTCCCGTCAAGACTCACCTGTTCCGGCTTGAACTAGATTCACTAGAACAAGCCATTTCCATTGCGGAGCAGGAAGACTTCAGTCTGAGACAGGCTCGCGCCAGCTCGACATCATATCGTCAACCGAGACGATATGACAACGGAGGTCCAGAGCCGATGGAACTCTGTTATGTAGAGAGCGAGAAGGCTCGCTCTACAGGCTACAAGAAGTTGCAGAGATGCAACAGATGTCAAAAGACAGGACACTACGCTTACGAGTGTAGTGCCCCTCGTCCAGTGTCTCGCGACACTGGGCGTAGTGACCGTCCACCCATGAGAAAGGGGCAGGGACGAGGGTCCGCTGTTGGTGCAAAGACGCAACAACGGGATGGACCGTCAAAAAACGGACAGGATCAGTAGGTGCGGAGCACCCTACTGATCCAGCAACGTCAAGAGAATTTGTAGGCCTCTTGATGAAGGTTGCTCCCAACACACAGACGTTGTGCGTTGCTGCTCTAGGTAATGAGTTCTCACTCATTACCTTGAAACTCGAAGTGACGAATAAGTTGTCCCTTCGAGCTC